ATTAGTGGTTTTTTGGAAAATGTGTAGTTAAAAAGTAGGGAATAGTTTTGGGTTTAAGTGCAAATTATTTTATTGGGAATTAAAAATGAGATAGAAAAAAAATGAGTTCTTAGATAATGGGGCTCAAACAGGGGGCCTAATTATTTCATAATTTTACGCCCCCCACTCACCCTCCCCCAGGCTCCTGCCTGTCCCCTAATAACTTGGGATGGATATTGGTTGTCATGACTCATGAATCTGTTAAAAAAGATTAGAATGGAAAAGAGGTTATAAACTAAAAAAAATTTAAACAAATTTTGAGATTACGTGCATATCTGTGCAGATTGTTGACAGACCAACTCAAAAGCGGATGTTCCTTTCCCGAGAATACGTCCAGCCACAGTGGATTTATGATTGTATAAATTTCCGTGTAATATTGCCAACTGACGAATACTTGGTGGGAAGGTAATATTTGAGATCTCATCGGTGTTTTTGGTTTTTATTCTTCATGCACCTTATTGATCTGACTTATTTCACTCATCTGCCTTGGATACAATAGAGTAATTAATATTTAATGATTGAATGTCTATTAAACTTTGGTTATATAATCTCCAATCACAACCAATAAACAAAAAGAAACAAAAGAACAGATTGGGCCCAATGAGGACTGCTGACATTGCTAGTCTGATAGAACATAGTTGTGTTTCTTCGTGCTTAATACAAAAAATCTCAAACCCTTAAATAAGAAGAAACCAAATAAAAGAGAGGGGACTAAGAGGACTCGTGTTCCCAGTTCCTGGTTAGGAAACACGCATTGTGTATGTGGGCGTGCAAGCACACATTCATCAGTTATAGCCCCTGTTGGTGGTTTGATTGTTGATTATAGCTAATAGAGCTATTTTTTTGGCTTAAGTTTTGAACTTGTTAGACAGAATTGTAATGTACACCAAGATTATGTGGCAGATCAATCATGGACCTATTGTGATTTTCAGTATAGAACTGTGAACGACCTCAATATCAGGTTGTACTTGGTTTCGTTATCAAAAGAAATAGAAAACATATCTGGAGTAGGAGTACTAGTTCTCACATTTTGCAATCAAGCTATATTGTGTGACTACTTGTAGGGAATTAATAGGTCTTTAAGATTTGTAACGAGGCTTGTATTTCTGGAATAGTACGTGCAATTTTCCTTGTTGACTTGTATATTTGTCTTCAGCTTGAAGTTAAAATCTCCATGCTCAACAATAGTTTCCTTTAAAGGTTTCGAGAGTTCAAATGTATTGTTAACTTCTACAAAGTTCGTCATGGTTTCAATGGCATGGGTTTCTGCAGGGTTGCTCCACCACATTTGTCCCCATTTGTTGACAATGAAGAAGAAGGCCATGTTCCTGAATATGCTGAAACTATCAAACGGCTGCAAGCTGCTGCAAGGAAAGAAGTCTTACCCTTGCCAGGTGCAGGAGAGGATGATTTGGGTGACCCTCAAAATTTACAAGGAATTATTGACCGGGCTGAGGAAATTGAAGCTGCTGAAAAAAAACGGAAGGTAAATATTTTGACAGATGTAAGCTGCTGATTTTAATATGATTATAAATATGTACAATATGGCAGAGTTTAGGAAAACACTTGTTTACGCAAGTAGGAATGCGTTCACTTGTAGACTAGTTTGACTAATCTCATTTTTCACTAGTGACCAACATGCCGTTTTCCAAAATTAATAATCTAGAATAACTTGTGAATAATTGATTCTTTAATTTATATATAATGATAATTTACTCCTCTAGTTTGATAAATTCTTATGATCTAGTTGCATAGATGCCTTTTGCTTCGTCCCCTCAATTATATCCTTTGAGAAAGGAAAAGAAAACATTCTTTTTAATGATCGAGGCTTCCATTAACACATTCTGGTGAAAATCTTTATCAACTTATCAGGTGTTGGTTTTCATTCCCTGGCATTATCAATTCTTAGAACTCATTCCCAGTGACTGCATATATGCTGTGGCTTCTGCTGCTTTTTTAATCTACTTCGCATGGGCTGAGTTGTTTATGTTGTTGAATTGTATGTATTCAGATGGCAATTCTTCAGAAGCAGTATCTTGATGAACTGAAAATGGAGCTTGAAAGTTGCCAGTATCATGATCATTCAGATACGAGCAAACTGAAAGATGCTGAGGGCCCAGATGCAGAGGACTCTTTACCTAATTTAAAACAAATTGCTGAGGATGCTGAAAATATGTCCAAGGTCTTAATATCGCGTAAAAAGAGAAAGCTCTTGGAAGCCATGGAGGTAATTTTCTCGATCACGTTATGTTGCTTTAACTCTGGATTTGTTTCATTGAACTTTGGATTCGAATGTGATGCTGATATCTATTGAAAGGCATTTCTCTTGGTTGATAATTTTTCTAAAATATTGATATGAGCAAGCAGACCAAGTATCTGGCCATTGATATTATTTGCCCTTCACGGTTATTTTTTTTGTTATGGTAATAATTTATCACTTCTGCTGGAACATTGGAGGTTCACTTGAAATATGAAGTTTTTAATTTAAATTCTACTGAGATAGAATATGTAGATGAACTGATATCGAACAATAATTACATTAGTTTGTTAAGCCATTACCGGGGAAAATGTTTGTAAGTTAAATATTATAAAATAAACATGGATATTGGCGTGGATTTTGTAGTAATGAAGATATACGTCTATTAAGTCAATGAGAGAAATGTCTCTAGTTGTGTATTGTGGAAATCGTGCGGTGTTTCTCATGGATGCTATGTTCTATTCAGATTGGTAAAGACCGGAAAAAGGCTCATATTAAGCTTCTGAAAGAAAGGAAGAAAAGAATCGACGAGGCTCAGAAGTCGGGATGAATATGCAACTGAAAGAGAGGTTTGCTTTGAGTTGATATTGTTGGTAACTAATCTTTCGTCATTTTGTGTTTTCGATAAGCCTGAATTTTTGTTTTGTTTTTCATTTCGACTAAACATTATCAATAGGTTTTGTTGACCTGAATACCTGTTTGAGCATATTGAATTTTGAAAATATTCAATATTCAAATAAATATCTGAGATTCTCGAAGTACTAATATATTAGTTGGTAATTTGTATTCCATCTTCTTTGAGGGTCCGTTTGATTGCAAAGATAGAATTGAATTACCTAGAAAACGAAATTCAGGGAATTAAATTGTCTAGAAATCATTTTTCTGGTAATTGTAAATTATTATGTTTGATTAGTATAATTTTTCAAGTGAAAAATGTTAAAATAAGTGTTTTTTGGTGTTCGTTTGGTTTTGTTTTACATGAAAATTGTCAATTAAAGAGATAAAATTTATTGGTATTGGAGATGAAATTTGTTTTCATTGTCAAAACTCAAAAAACAAATAAATAAATAAAATTCAATAAAATTATCTATTTTTCGGTGTTCGTTTGATTTTATTTTACATGGAAATTGTAAATTAAAGGAAAATATTTTTTTACAATAATTCTTAGAATTATTTCCATTGCACAAAAAAAAAAAAAAAAAAAAGAGAGAGCCAAGAAAATCATCTACATTTTGAAAAAAAAAAAAAAAAAAAAAAAAAAAAAAAAAAAGAAGGGGGGAGGGGGTCATCAATAGAAGGAAAATGCTGATGTGGCAGTAGTTGGTGGAATTTCAATTCCATGGAATTAAAAGGCCATCAAACAAGTTATTTTGTAAGAAAATGAATTCCATTTTCAGTTTTTAGGAAAAATAAGGGCAATCAAACAGGCCATTAGTTTAATTTGACGTATAAAAGTAAGAAAACTATACATGCATGTATGTATGTTAAGTACAATCGATACTAACCGAGCATAATTTCAATGTTCACCTTCCCTTGTGAAAATTTTTATAATTGCTTTTGTTTCGGATATTAGGTAAATTTTGGAAACTAGTTTATGACCATTTCTTATATCGAAATATAAAACTGTATTTGTTTTCTTACGTCTTTTTCATTAATCACTAGTATATTTGTCAAGATTTAACATCTCTCTTTTAGAAAGGAAATTAAAAATTTTAACTAGAAAAGGGGGAAAAATAGCAATGATTTTCACTCAACGTCATTCTTTAATGTAAACTATTTCTAACTTGATATAATATTTTTGGGATTGCAAAATGCACTCTTAATCGCGTCTCATATTGTCCTATCCTGGACACGCCTAATTATTATTTGGAAAATTTTCATAAATGTCACTAAATTTGAAAATTCACAAACAATTTTCATTTTCACTAAAGATGTTTAAAAATATCACTTTTTAATGTGAAAGGCTCAAATTATCGTTAGTGACATCTTTTGAGAACCATTTAATGCTTGATTTGAATGTTATTAATGTTATGATATGATGATTTAATTTGTATATAATAAGCATTGGATATATGATTATTATATTGGGTACTACGAATTTTGGTAAGAACAAAAAAGATTAATATGTTGTTTATGTTGTTAAATTTAGGTTGGAGTCGCCTAATTATTATTGTCGTTCTTTTTTATTATATTTTAAAAGTTTAATTTTAGTAAAGATATGTATATAGAAATGTAAATAAATAAGTAAATGTGAAGTAAATAAGAATATTTTAATCTCTATCACGTCTCAACCTCGTTTACGCTTGCACCGTCGTTTAAAATTTTGGGATTAAGCATTTGATGTAGAATTAGGCTTGGCTGTGGGGAGGTTCGAAAGAACGAGGATGATTATGAGAATTTACAAGAATGAGAGTTGAGAAAGGTCAGTTTAGCTTTTCACTACTCTAATAAGCACCGAGAACCAGGCTTGCAATCCACCAAGAAGCATGAATCATGATTCTAGATATAGTAACATAATGTCACGTGACATTTTATCGTTTAACTATTTTAAATGCATTCAACTTTTCCATCAAATCATCTACTGCCACCTTTGATTGTCTTTGCATCTGTTAAATTTCTTCTTACAAATTGGCAAAATCAAACAAGTATATCGACAACGAAAATGTAGAGAAAAACGTAAAAAAATGCAATCGTAGCACAACGATTAAGACTCCAAAAGAGAATTCGCACCATCATGTAAACATCCAAGCAAAAGCCTGTCTTCTACAATAAAGTACATGACATTGAGTTTATCTGGAACAATTTCCACAAACAAACAATTGGAAACCATTAAAAACGATGTAATAATGTCTGAATACACAATACCCAGCAAGGCAGGTGAACCATACACATATAGATATATGTGGCACTGTTCCATGCCCACAGGGACTCAGCCCAATTCCAAAAGTCCCCAAATCTCATGTTGTCAAAACCTTCTAATGCACCTTTCAACACAAAAAACACAGTTACAGGAAACCCGACAAATATAAAGATTACGTTACAAGCTCCCCGGATAAGAGCTCTCAAAGTATTCACTTTATTGTCTAGCCTCAAGGGTACTGCTGTCAAACACATTGGAACGAGAAACAATGCTCCAATTTCTGCTGTTGCGAAGTTTATGACTGACATAAGACACAGACCAATGAAGGTGGCTGCAACAGTTACCGACTTCAGGAGAATCCATTCTGTATCCCGAGATCGAATGGTGCTCGGAAATGAGGATCCAGAGAATGAATCTAAGAACAGGAGGGTAATTATTGAAAGCACGATCCAAATTGAAAGCTTAGTAGTTGGTGAAGAGTCAGGTATTTGATCAACGAAATAAGGAAGTAATGTTACAATGGCACTCCATAAGTGGACAACGAGGACTTGTTTGGCAGCGTAAAGCCATTTCCACGATGTAAAAGTAGGGGCAGGTTGGAGAGTAGAGGCTGGTTTAGAAGCAGATTTATCTTCCTCCGCATCAGGGTTTGATTTAGTAGCATCAGAAAAAAGAGAAGCGGCAACTAGTGGAAGAGGAGCAACAAGCAATGCGAAAGCGATCATGTAGACTCCAACCGACACAAATCTACTTGGCGATGTTAAGAGATAGAGAAAAAAGGATTGGTGAAACTTCTCAAGAAGATTATTTACCGATCTGACAACTCCTTCAACCAACCTGCATGGGAACATCTATTAGAGAGACAGCTATGCTTTTTGTAAAGGAAGTAGAGTGAATATTTTCTCCTAGAAGAAATCAGGCAAAACATAGCAAGAGTAAGGAAAAAAATGAAGCATTTATCCATTGAAAGAACGGACATTAAAATGGCACATGGATTGTTTGATTCCAGCAAAGTTCCATTACCAAAAGACTTAGCTGAAAATCAACACTGACCTTCCAACATGCAAAAGGATCTCATATTGTCGATTATTAAGACTTGAAGAGAACTTCGGTGAGATCTCCATAGTAATGGCATCCACCTGGTAATCACGAAAGGCACCATGGGGACCAGTAGGGACACCTAATGCCTGACAGCAAGTAGAAATATGTTGCCTCAAAACCAATTGCTCAGTAAAAAAACACCACAGCCCATTACTCATCCATTTGAAGAGTAAAAAGGCTTGAAAAAAATTGATTTCCAGCAACAAAATCAGTTCCAAATTCTATGTTTTGTAACTCAGAAGAAGATACGGGGATACACAAGAAGAAGAAGAATGCTCGTTTTAATAGGTCGTGGGGATAATCCAAAGAATGGTAGGTTTATGAAGATTGCAATGATTACCTGGTTGTACAGGGAACTGGCTAGAGTAGCAGTGCATTCAACATACTCTGAAACAGGGATACCAAAATTCCATTGAGGATTTAAGCTTCCAGCCAATTTTCCTAGCATTTCAATCAATTGTCCGAGACTCTTCAGCCACCAAACATTGAGCAATGACCATATTTTCTCCACCTTCACCCGGTAACCCTGCGCATGTACTGCTAAATAATTCACAATATTGATAAGATCTAGGTTTGGCATCTGTCCATTGGATGCTTCGGCATATATTGTAAGAGCATCCTTCTCGAATTCAGTGCTTCTATTGGTAACCTTAATGACAAGAGCAGCTGCCATTGTGCCAGCATGTCGGAAGCTATTATGCATTGTTTCCATCTTGGACAAATTACTTGCAGCACAAATTTCAGAATGCTTCAAGTCACCAAATGAGGCTGTATGATAGTCTCGCAGCCATGAAGCAACTGCAGTGTATTCTCCATGTCTTGAGTCGGCAGCAAGCCACACAATATCCTTAGAAAGCCAAGTAACTTGAGCAAGTAGAGAGAACAATGCATAAGCAATTCCCAGTGATAAAGCCTCGGCCCTTGTAATCTTCAAAGAATTATAAGGTGTAACCAATACTATAGCTTCCTTCCCATCACCACGTGGAGCTCTAATTATGCCAACTGTATTGATCCCATAAGATGAACAACTGTAATTCTCTGGGATTGTTCCTGCATCAGGACCCAAAAAGAAGTGCAGTGGATGAAATTTATTAAATTGCGGTAGAAACTTGTGATGACTAACTTCACCACCCAAATCCATTATATGGGCTGTTATCATCTCTGGAATTTCCCTGCATCCATGAAGAAAGAGGAAAAGGTTAAGTTTTAGGAGCAAAAAGTAACAAACAGAATGTTGATATATGATAAGAAAGAAGAGGATTCACGTGTTCTAGTGATTTATTTTTTTTAACATTAAATCATAGTTATTTAACCCCACCCCGGCCATTGAACCGGTCAAGACACATGGTCTCGGGTTACTGGTCGAACCGGTGGATCAATGCTTAATAATTATAAAATATTTTTTAAGGTATAAAGTTTTTCTTTTAGATAAAATAAAAAAAATTAAATTATCTGTCATTAATTATTTAAATATTATTTTGTTAAATATTCAACTCATTTTAATTAAAAAAATTATTATAATTTTTTAAACATATTTTTAACAAACTATAAATAATTTACATATACATATTTATTGCAAACATAAAACAAGAAACAATTGATCTCTAGTGGTTACATGGTACTCACTTTACCTAGAGTTCCAAGGTTCAAATCTTTTAAAAGCAAAAAATTTATGGACAATCTTTTAAATCTTGGTCAAAACAAACCGGCCGAGTTATGAAAATCGCCAGATTAACTGGGTGGGGCAACTCCGTTTTGACCAAGTCAATTGCAATTCTATGAAAATGTTCTACACAGCCTGGTCAAGGGCCCAGGTCACCGGTTCTCTGGCTCGACCCGGGTTTTATAACTATGATTAAAACAAACAAAGGGTTGCAAGGAGATATATTAAGCAAAGATATAACATTAACAAGGTCGGGTGGGAGGTATATCGTGAATAAATGCATATAGAAGGAACAAAACTAGAAAAATTATATGCCCGGTACACTTCAAGCAGTTTTTCCATAATTTTATTAATGTAGGAATGAACTGCCTATTCCAGAGATGAATAGCAAAAATCAGGAATTCATCTTCCACAGAGGGTTCCCAATGCCCTCAAAAACATTCTCCTACTTAATTCGTTCCGCAAGACACCGGACAGTGTAGCAAGTTTCCCATGACCTTATTGTGCTGAACTTATTACTAGCAGAAAGATAGTTGAACAGCATATTCTCAATCAATTTTGGCACCAAAAACAGGCTGAACAAAAGACTCCACAACTTCACAGGCACTTCACAATAACACAGCGAGTGTGAGGCATTCTTCGCTCACTTCTCCTCAAATTTTCAGCAGCCAAATGAACCTCTAATTTCTATATGATTTCTCTTGTACCGCTGCTTCCAATGGATTTCTAACAGGAGTTGATACGTAGGACACTGTTGTCGGAGCCTAACTCCATACAGCTTTCAAAGGAAATCAATACCATCTTTTTCAGTAGCTGATAGTAAGAGGATTTGGTGGTCAACTTCCAGCTTTTAGAAACCCTCGAACCAAATTATCTTCTCCCATTCCCTTCAAATTCAAACCATACACTCTAAAAAAGCTCCAGTTCGTGGACAGGTTGCACTTCCCAGTCCAGAACCTCACCATCACCATGTTATCTGCCTTGAACCAAATAACCTTATTTGACAGATGTTTTCTTCTTATGATGTCAGGATTCAGGAAAAGAATGCTAAGATGATGCATATCGCCATATCCCCACCTATGATGCTCGAACTTTAGTACAGGTATCGGGTACGGGTACGTATATAAGTGTCGAATATTTTATTTTTTAAAATGTAGGATACCGGGATATGACTAAAAAGAGTTCAAATTTCGAACACGAATATGTGGATACGTCTTTCAAATTTCAATTTTTTTGCTAACTCAAAATGTCATTTTGAATAAATCAAAAACAATTTTTACAAAGAAGGAAATGAGTATTAAATAAAGAGTTAAAGACAAATAAAATAGAGTTTTGGAGTTTAGTTTTCAATTATGGGAAATTAATTACTAAATGTTATATAAAATAGAAAATGAAGGAATTGATTGCAATTTGGACTTAATGGAGTATTAAGTAGCACTTTATGAAACTCATTTTCATTTTATAAAAACAAGGAAAAGAAAAAAGAAAGAAGAAGAACAAGGGAAAATCTAACGTCGTCGCCTTTCTCCATCCTCCCGAAAGCAACGTTAGGTTCATAGAGAGCAGAAACGGGAAAGAAAAGGAAAAGAACAAAAAAGAAGAAGCTAAAACGACGAAGTGTCCGGTTGAAACTTGAAGGATCCGACACATATCCTATCCTATACCCATACCCATACCCATACCGTGTCATGTCTGATATGGGTACTCCGACCATTTCAAAAAGTGCGAGCATCAGAGATCACCACACCCAAGCCTGTCCATGTATAATTCCAAAGGTACCCTTGATGACGATTTTGATATTCTAGTACAGGAAATTGCCACTTTACGCAATCTAGAACTTGGATTGATTATACAAAAGCAAGGATGTCAATTTATTGCCTCTACACACAAATTGAGGATTTGAATAAAGAGCAACACAGATTAATCATGGAGAAAACGTCTGTGCAAGTATTTTGAGTCACATTTACTTTATTAGTAATGGGAAACAACAGATTAACCAGGGAGAAAATGTATGTAAAATAGATATCCAGATGCTTTTGCTAGCTATTAATGGAAGATAAAATGCCTAATAGTTACTAAAAATGAAAGCGTGTGCACCCAAGGAAACAAATGTAAGTAGCACAGACATTTAAATTTGAACGATTTCATTGTGAAATGTCATATGAAAACATGCCAGCATGCAGCAATCACTTCAATTAGCATGATATGCAGAGCCTCTATATACTACTACAGTAAGTCATTTTCCAAGAACAGGAAACCATGACAATTGTGAGGACTTTACATACATGCCTGTGTTCATAGTATCGAAACGTAATATCTGGTTCATGAATCTCTCTCCTTCTGAAACGTCATCGTTAGAGAGCATAGGTCTGGCAGAACCTGAAAGATGGTGGTTCTAAATGTGTGAAGACAGTCTCACAGCCCATAAAATGAGGCTACTACCAGATAATTTCTTCTTTCAAACAGCACAAAACAAGTAATTACTAATTTTTGTTTTTGCTTTACTTTCAGTATATCTTAACATGCTCATGAACCGAATTAGAGCATGTTTGGGTCAGCTTAATAGGTTTACTTATAAGTAAATAAGTACCTTTTAAAAGTTACTTATTTTGAAAGTAAAGTAGAATTCAAAATAAGTAACTTTTTTTTAAATGAAAAAACAATAATAACTTATCCAAATACAGTTGGAAACAAAAAAAGGTTACTCGAACTACGTTTTACTTCAAATCTTAGCCAGACACGTTCTTAAACTTACGAGTCTTAAACATTATGCAAACAGAAAATAAGATTTAAACTCTTGTGAAAAAGAAAGAAATATGTTTTGAGAATTTTAAAGAAAGGAATATGCAAATTGAACATTAGGCAATAAATTATAGAAAATAAAGAGGAACGAAATGGGAGGTATAAAACTGACCAGGCATGAGTGCATTTTCTGAAATGTAAGTATTCTTCCCAAGAACAGGCAACAGCAAAAGAGACAAAACCCCTGCTGTACAGCAAACAACACTGAATCCAAACAAAAATTAATCGGAATCATATAATTACAAATGAATCGCAACATGGACGATAATTTTGATTTACCTGACTAGAAGGCTGTGAGAGATGAGGAAAAGGCCGATACGGATAATTGGCCGAGGTTTTGGCTTGTCTTCCGCCATGGACAGGACCGATCGGCGTCAAGACTCTGTACTGCGTTTATACTTCTTTTCTGGAAGTCGATCTATAGCGCCACTCACTGATCACATTTTAGAAACGACGTCGTAATAGCGCCCTGATTTTTGTATATGGGCTTAATTGGGTTGATATTCAATTGAAGATTTGCGGCCCAAGAAAACTAGAAAAACATTTCACAGTTTTACAACTTTTTCCAACTATTTCATTGTTACAGAAATGCTCTAATGTCCACGGTGGACAAGGTGGGAAGAGTTATAATTACCACAATGAACGTGGATGTTATTGGACAACACCGAATGTTTTCACGTCCACGGTGAACAATATAACTCATATCCATCGTGCGCATTAGATCAAATCTGTTGTTCCTCGTTGTTTTGAATTATAGATTATTATTTTTTAATAAAAATTTGGATTTATATTTATTCCCAAGCCAATATATAAATTAAATTCAAATTATTTTCTCCAAACATTGAATTCTCTAGAACTCACAACTTACAGAAAGAAATAGTGTATTTATGTTTTTTGGTATAAGCTTATGGACCTAGGATTTTCACTTTTCGAAATACGAAAGGGAAGTCTCATTGAATATTCATTCCTTTTGCGAGCATATCAAAAATTTCACTATCGAAATCTTAGCAATTATTTTAGTAATGCTTTTAACCAGTGTAGGTGGTATTGATATGACATTAAATGATATGTATAATAATAATAATAATAATAATAATAATAATAATAATAATAATAATAATAATAATAATAATAATAATAATAATAATAATATTCATAGTGATTAACAATAATAGTCACACTACGTGACACGTGTGTCATGATTTTAATAATTAAAAAATGGGGAAACAATCAAACGAATTTCAACAATAATAATGAAACAATCACAAGTAGAATGTCACATAGGGCATTACTGTAGCTGCCGAATACAAATAGCACTACTCATTAAAAAATGATTTAAGTTTGCATTTTTATTGTACATATCATTTAGCGTCACCTAAATTAGTATTGTAACGCCAATGATGCTAGACAACTATAATCCAATTCGGTATTATTCAATCTCAAAGAGTGCAATCAAGCTTTGGTTCATCCGAAAAAATTAATATTGTGTATATTAATTTTGAAAAACAAACGTTCGTTTGATTAGTTACCAACGATGCAGTTGGCGAAATCTATCTTAAAGAGATTCATTTGCATACTTCACTTCATTTTATCTTGTAATTTTTGCTTTTTATTTTTTAATAAGTCATGATTTATGCGAATCTTTAGGCATAGTATCTTGATTTTGGTAAATCAAAACTCTATTCAATATTTGCACCAATAAGTTGCGATTTTATCATATTGACATGCACGTATTTTTAATTGTCCAATATAAATTATGTACCAATTTATCCAACAATTTTAAGATAGACCATTATATGCATTTTATATTCTATTTTAAAATTTCGAAAGAATTAGCACTTCAACATTTGACGTCACATGCATTCTTATTTTAATACATATTGCACTTAACAAGTACCTTGAAGATGAACTGATAATCATCTAACTTTGTCTAAGGGACAATTTATCTGGGATTGCGGCGTCATTTGGAACGTAATATTTTTACCAATGCTGGCATTACCATTGGATGACACCATTACCTTCAACATCCTATTGATCTATTGGATCAGATGACAACTCATCTCTTCCACTCAGATTACGATGTCCAGCTATATTTGATACCATGGGATGTCTGCCCCAAGTTATGTTCCAGGAATTTATGGTGTGGAATTGCTCCCACTCATTTCTTTCAATACGACCTTATTCTTGGACCGACGATCATTCATATTCCTATCCTCCCAGAAGGTTGTATTTGTACTAACAAAAACTTTCCTCTCTAGAGAACTATTAAAATGTATTCTTGGTATCTTTAGGATCTCTTACAAACAGGCACATTTTTTTTTTTATCTAGATTCCAATTTTTTTGTCTTTTCTTTGAGCACATGAGCTAGATCTCTAAATTTTGAATGTGACGCAAACAGGACTTGAATCTATTCCAAAATTTCAAAAGTGTCTTGAGAATAGACTTAGAATAAACTAAGTTAAGAATATATCCAAATGTTTTCAATATATGTCCCAAAATGATATATGTAGAGTTGTGAAACTCTTCATTTGACCTAACCATATCTAACAGTGTTATGTTTCTTCTTTCTAGAACACAATTCCATTTAGATATACCAAGCGTATTTAATTAAGAAATAGTACAATTTCTGTTAAATTGTCCTTGAATTCTCCAGAGAGATATTCACTACATCGATCCGATCGAAGTGTGTTAATACTCTTATTCAAATGTTTCTCGACCTTAATCTTATACTCTTTTGATTTCTCAAAAGTATTTGATTTTCAAGCCATAAAGTAAATGCATTTAAATCTAGAGTAATCATCTATAAAGAAATACTCATAATTCCCATTCTCAAATGTATTAACAGGTCTACACATGTCAGAATGCACTAGTTCCAATACATTTTTGGCTCTATCCTTTTGTCCAAAAAAAGATATCATGATCATATTGCCTTCCAAACAAAACTCACAAATTGTCAATAGTTTGATCTTAACCGAGTTGAGAAAATTATCTCTAGTCAGTTTTATATTTTGTTAAGGTCGATTTGTCCAGTACACCATAGATGTGTATTACTAGTATGGTATGACATTTTTATGGTGTACAAGAATAACATTTTTATTTCATATGTGGATTAGTTTAAAATATAAAGACCATTAATCAAATGTCCAACGCAAACAGAAATTTTATTCATTAAAATGCTAAGCTTATCAAACACTAATTTTATAGAAATTTCATCTTATTAAATCGAAAATAGAAAACAAATTTCTACTTCATTCACGAGACTTAATAATACTCTTTAGGAATTAAATGCCTACCACAATTAAAATAAAAACAATACTCCTATACTCTTGCCAAAACTATTTCTCTTATGCTAACAATGATTTTAAACTAGCCTTCATTGAGTTTTCTGCTTTCCTGAAGTGCCTGCATTGACATGTAGATATGATTAGTGGTTCCAAAATCTACAAGCCGAAAATTTGTAGCATCAACCACTGAACAATACTCAATAACAAAAAATCCACCCGCACTTTGCTTTCTAGCTAGTGCATCTGGGCGGTTTTTCTCAAATGTCCTTTTCGACTGCAGTTGGAATACTATTCTCAAAGCTTTCTATCTATATTTGATCATTTATTTGTCTCATGCTTATTGATAGCTTTCTTCATCTTCTTTCCAAATCTGCCCTTTTGACTTGGAACCAAAGTAACTACCAAATAATGCATTAGCATTGCCATTGTACCATTAAGACCACTTTCCACATTATAATTCTATCATTAAGGTATCTTCATCTTGTGTAAGTGATAATTCATAGTAAACTATAAAAAATTATCAGGTAAAGAATTCAACACCATGTCAACAACTAAGTATCCTTGATAAATGGTTGCATCCAGACTCTCAGCTATTTTTGAAGTACGCAATTATAGTCAAACTATGAAACTTTACAAGCACTCTAGATTTCATGTGAATACTCTATTAAGTACAAATAGCTTCAAAAGAACCTTCCTACTTCGACGACCAAACATGGACTAAAGGGTCTATAGTATGTTATGAGAAGTACGCTGAGTTTCAAGCATTTTATTGTAGTATGTTTGACATCGAAGTTAAAAAAAAAAAAAACAACAACAACAAGAAGCCATCTTGTCTACAGTCTCCCACTTAACACATCCAGGCTTTTGGACTAGTTACATGGTCTTAGTAGATCCATCAGGACATCCGTTAAGCACAAAGTTAAGTTTACCCATATTGAGCACAAACATTGAATTAGGCTTCCAATCCACATAATTTTTCGCGATTAGTTGGTTTTGCTTTAGAATAACGAAAAAAATTGGCCAAGTGATAATTCGCATAAAAATAATCATATATTGCATATTAAAATTGAACAGAAAATAACAATTTAGCATATAATACATGAATGCACATATAGAACCATTTAAATACAATAATGCAATAATTACTTGATCTATGTGATCCAACATGCCACTTTATAGGAAAGGTAATTGTGTTCACTAATTAAGTTGGGACCTTCCCACTAGGCGAACTATATTTGATAACAAATTAAGTCTAGTATCGTTTGATTTAGTCACCAATATCATAAACGAGAGCTTTTATAGAAGGTTCGTAGATAATATCAATTTGAGTGTATAACCTTTCTCTAAACCTTTAGATGCTTGAAAATAATTTCGCCATCTATAGGATGATCACAAATTATAGTCTTATCTAGACAATCTTATCATGAAGGAATCCAATCAAACAACTGGAACTACATGGCCCTCCTATAGGAAGTCGGTTGCATTACCAACACGAGGCAATCACATTACTTTGCTTATGAATTGACCAGAGGAGATCATGGATTTTTATTTAAATAAACACTCACTCCCACTTAATATTTTAAAGTAATGGGATTTGATTAAAATAATTACCAATTTTTCACATTAATCAAATTAATATTTAGTATAATTATTACAAGTTTTTCTTCTAAAAAATTTTGACCTAAATTCAATTAATCAAGAAAATTTTAAATAATTATAAAATTTTCATATTAATTAAATTAATAAACAGTTTAATTATTACATTTTTTCAATCCAAAAAATATAATCTAAACGAAATTAATCAAGGAAAATTAAAATAATTATCAGTTGTTTATATTAATCAAATTAGTATATAGTTTAATTATCACGAATTTTCCTTCTAGAAAATTTAATCTAAATTAAATTAATAAAAAACTTGGTGTTAATAATATACATCCTATTAATAGTATCACAAGTGATGTGATAAAGAAATCTGTATGACATGATATCAAGAATGATAATATTTAAAAAAATAATTTAAAGCATTAAATTAAGAGGAAATTACAGAAACCCAGGTACTAAAACTTTCAAATTCAAAATCTAGGGGTGAAGTTTATTTATGCAAAAATAAGGTATTATATATAATTAACCAATCCAATTCAATTAAAAACCCT